CATATAGCTGAATAATTGATAGAATACAATCGTAATTTTGTTAAATCTCTTTAATATAAAGAATTCCTTTAATAAGATCAATTATAAATCAAAATTAATAATTAAATTGATTCAATCAATCAAAATTTATAAAATCTAACTACTTATCAAATAGCTTACAATATATTTCAATAAAAACAATTTTCATCTGAACAAAATACTCTTATTATGAATTTAAGATCATTATAATTACCTTCAAAAAATATTTTTACTGAATTGTAGTTGAATTCTAAATTAATTACTGGAGTTAGTGATTTTGTTTAAATCTATTGTTCTCATACATTAGATTTATAAAAGTCTTGTATCTGTTTAGGAATTAGAGTTATTAATAATTGCCCTTTTAAATTAGATAATTTAGGAATAAAAATATTATTAGATAGAAACTCTTATATTTAAAATAATTACAAATTAATAGAAGAGTTACCATCATATTAAGAAAAACAATTATTTTATGTTGTTAAAGTAAATCCAAAATTATCTATGCATTTTGCTTTTGATATCATTTTATAAGACATTAAGAATGAATCTTCATTATCTTTTGCTATAAGAACATAAAATTATAGAATTAGTATGCTTGAATTTCTAATACCAAATACTTTTTTATATTTATCATAAAATTGTTTTTAATACATAACATATGATACTTCATTAATAATAAAATGCTATTTAGAAGGAAATTATTTGTAACTTTATAAGAAATTGTTATCATAACCATTTGCAACTGTTATCTTAGATAATACAAATCAAGTATTTTAATATTCAATTAAATAAAACTTAAACCTTGATTTGATTACTTAAAATATATCCAAACCATAGATATGGATGATTTTCTTATATAATTAATGATTAAAACTTATCAATCATGATATCAAATATTTGAAATTAATCAAATTCAACTGAAGTCTTGTTGGGAGTTTAAATATTTCCTAGATTAAATCTGATAAAAGTTGTAATGAAAGCTTTTAGACTGATATTGATTTTATTTTTGAATTATGAAATGGATACTTGTCTGTAATACCACTATGATAATTTATATTAAATTAGAATATAGATATATTCTCTATCAAAAGCTGCTGTTGAATAATCATTTTCTATTAGGGCTGAATGTAAAATAGCGAATTGAATCATTTTAATTTTCTATTATTAAATTTACTTAAGTTTTATCCTTATTTTAAGAGTTAATTAGAGGTAAATTGATCAAACTTTATTTTCAGTAATTAACAGAGTTCCTAAAGGATTAAAACCTAGAGAGACAATTTATTCTTTTTTTTTCTTCATATAATCTTCCTAATCAAAGTTAATATATATTTAAATAAAAATTTAATTAATAATATGCAAATTTACATGAAATTGCAACTATATAATCTATGGAAGTGATGTTATCTCTTCTCCATTTATATCTTATAATGAGATATCTGATTAGTTTTCTACTTGTCCTCAATTTGAAGTAAATAATTAGGGACACTTTTTAAGTCAAATTCTATGGTGTATAATTACTTAATCTTAATTAACTTCAAAGTTTCTTCTTGATTGTAAACTAAAAAATCAATAGAAGCTCAAATTACATGATCAATTTATTCAGCGTATAATATATATCATCTATAAGTACTTATTAAATTAACCATCATCATTTAATATTTTTCATACTTTTATTTATTAACCAAATTAGCAAACAAAATATTGCTGGTTATAAGATAATGATTGACTTCTTGATAGATTACTCAAAAAAAAAATTATTATTTCTTAAATACTCTTAGCTTTGAAATATCTAAAATCTTGATTTATTTCTCCCCTCCAATTATAATAATCTTTAAATTCTAAAAGCATAACTTGATTTAGTTCTAAAATCACATATGATTAAACCTTTATTACTTCTAGATGCTTTATAATCTCCATTGTAAGTAAAGTAAGAAATTTTTAGATAATGATATTCATCAATTAAGATTTCAGATTATCCACTATTCAGAAGGCCAATCTTTTGACCTTAATCATAAACTTTGGAAACGGATTAATGTTTAGAACTCTAAGTATAAAAAATTAGATTCTATTTCCAAAATATAATCAACTTGAACAAAAAATTTAGTCTTTGTCTTCATTTGTAAAAATTGAGTTTAAAGTAGTATTTTACAGATTAAATTTTTTTACGTGATAATTTATTTTGATTATTCAATTGATAAATCTTAAAGTCTGATGTGGATATTTCTACTGGGATTTCATTATAAGAAAAAGCCAAAAGCCCTATCAAACTTCTTTAGGGATATAATCGCTTTATTTTTGAGATCAATTAAGCATAGTTGTTTGGAATAAATGCAAACTTTACCAAGAAAAATAACATCAATTTCAGAATAAAAATATTCTCCAAAATAAGATTATTCGAATACCATAATAATCTCATTAGACATATATTATATATAACACTTTATAATTATGTAAATTCAAAAATTTGAATCCTTTATCCGTATTCTAAAATCATTTACTCTTACTTTTCAGAGATTTCAAAAATATAAATATTTTCACCATCATTAAGAGCAAAAAGTTTATAAAAATTTGATATTTTAACGTATTGGGTATTTTAAGGGTTTTGAAATTTATTTTTAATTTCAGAAACACAATTTAATAGTTATCATTATACACAATAATAAATAAATTTTAACTTTTTGATAAATAAACACCTAAAATTGAATTCTAAATATTTAAATCAAAATATGGTTTTTCCTATTCCATTAAATTATGATTTGACATAATTATTGAATTACCTTTGATTGATATTATGAAATCTTTTAATCATATTGAATTATATCGATTTAAACAAAAGATCATTCTAATTAATTTTTTGAATACTTCCATTTTTTTCCCCCAAGAAATCATAATATTATCATTATTTACTGATAATAATTTATGGCCATCTTCCCAATTTTTAACAATTTTCAAAAAGTTTAAATGTTGTTCTTTGATAAATTATGGACTTAAACTAATTTACTATAACCTTACAATAAAATACTATCATCTGATATAACCAGGATTACCCAATATTTAATGAATTTGGAAACTAATTTAACAATTTTATTCAAGCTCCAAACTGAAATTTTAGTAAATTTTCATTTTTTATCTTCTTTATTTTTATTCTATTCACCTTTATCATCTGAAAAAGCAGAAAAATATCCTGATGGTGTAAAACATAAGTGATCTGGTTATACATAAAACTCAGATATTTAATAAAATAAAGTTGTTTTAGTGGAAAATTAACATCCCATAAACAATTTTATCCATCATAACCTCCTTATGCCTTCCATTTAGAACAAAATGAGATTTCTAAGCATTGTTTATTTGAAATATGTTTTTATAACATAATGATAAAAATTTGTTAATTATATCCATAAAATAATTGAAAAATCATCAATAAATGATGTAAGAACAAGATCATCTTTAGAGAAGGTAACTTAATTTACACATTCATAATGTCCTTTTGAAATGTTTGATTATTCACTTTATTCTATATTCCATAAGCTAATTTATTTATCATCTCTAGCAGAAGTCAAACATTTGCTATCTGGTGAAAAAGAAAATTATCTAACATTAGATGTTTGCCTTCAAATACAGCCATTTTAGTTTTAGCAATTATATTCAAAAAAATGCTTTTTTTTCTTTACATCCCAATTATTATCTAATTTATGAATAACATAAACTTGTAATAACATCTTCACGTTCTCTTAAGAGAGACTTATTTCTTATTAATCAAAATTCATCAGATATGTTGATGACAAACATTTAGAAATATTTACATTCTTTTTTATAATATAATTAAGCATTAGTGATAATTTGTTTAGAGGGGAATTTTTTTTGATGTAGATTTAAGGTAACTTAATGTCTTTGTTAAATATTTATTTTAATTACTATCCTGTTATTTCTCTCCTGGTAAATCAGTACCCATATTGCTAAATATTTCCAGATAAATTTATATTTATTAGTCTTAATTGATAATTTAACAAGGAATATTATATTTTTAATATTGAAGATATTAATGATAATTTCACTTGTTCTTTTTTTTTGCCTTTAGATAGCAAAACTTTCTAGATGAAGAGGTATTCTTAATCCTACTTCTTTTGGATCTATCATTTTATTTATTGTACCAACAATATTTACTTTTAGATGCTCATTTCTTACTTCTTCCAAAAAGGCATCAAATAATTAAGGAGTAAATTTAATTGAAATGGCCTGAAGATTTGGTTATGCCTTTTTATTTAATAAATTGATTTTCTTTCAGTATTCCTTTTGACTCTTCTACTCCTAATTTACTACAATTTTTAAGTTCAAGCATCTTGAGTTGTTTAGATGATTATGCAATATATTGTAATGTAGAGGATTAAATCATAAAAGATCTATAATTTATTATGTTGAAGTATATATGAAGGAATAGTACTAAAATCTATTTATTCCAATCTTAAAAGAAATACTTAATATTGATAAATCTATTTCATTTTTATTTTATTTAATATTTAGTTTGCTTCAAAAAATAGACTAAAAAAAGGGAAATAATATTAATTATTATAACTTTTTTTTCTTTAAAACCTAAACAATATCAGAGGAATGGAATTGCTATAAAAAATATAAATAAATATATATTGTTATAATCAAATATACTTTCACTAAGTTTTATTTAGCTGCCAAAATTAATGGCATATTATATCTTCATTTTGATTGTACTATGAGGAAAATAAGAATCTAAATTAGATAGACTCATTAATTATATTCATTCAGTACACTACTCTCTTGCCATCCAATACAAAAATAGAGTTATCCCTCCGCAAAATGCTCAATTAATACCCTTAGAGAGAAGCATACCGAATAAACCGATATAGTATGGCTATTTAATTAAAATTTTTATTTTCCTGATATAAATAGTTTTTAGATGGATCTTAATGTTCTTCCAATTACAATTGATCAATTAAGCACCATTAAATTTCACTCCACTTATATCTACATTCTTAAATTCAGATCCATTAAAATTACACCGTACAAAGGTTCCTCCAATCATAGAAGTATTCTTCATCCTGATATTCTTAAATGATTGGTTTCTTAGATCTACCTTCATCCTTATTAGCATATTAAGTGAATTGGATCCACATTAGATGAATTGATCATCTCTACTAGTAAGTTGGACTAAAAATTTCAGTAATTCAATCATGTTCCTATTATCTGATATCTTCATTATCAGATTCTTTTTAATCTCATCAAATTGTTCTGTTGAGTAGTCTTTCAAATTGAATTCATGTTCCTTTATTTTCTACGGAAGATTAATTATTTTGCTCATTTATCTCTTCTCCTCTTGATCTTAATATTTAAATATTAGAGATCTGCCAAACTTTCTTTGACTTGATTCTTCTTGAGCATAGCTTGAAGTTTCTTAAATATTAATGATGAAGCATCATCAATAATAATCTAATTAGCGTTTGCCAAATTCTATTAGAGATCCTCTCATCTCTCAAATACCTCCTGCTCTTCCTGTACTACTTCTAACTTTTATTAAATAGATCTATATATTAATTATAAACTTATTTCAACTTTAAATTTAATCTAAATGAATGTTTATAATAAATCAAATACAAACATAGATCAATATCATAAATCATCTCAAAGTATCTAGGATTCTTGTCTTTAAGTCGATATTCTCCTTAATTCTCTTGTTCTTCATCAGGCCTAGAACAAATTCTGGAATGATTTCTGAAAGTTGAAAATTAACTTTATCTTCTATTATGGTCAAAATATTTTAAGGATCTTCCCTTCCAAGAATATTCTAAAATCATTTAATTTAGCTAATGACTATTTTCTCTTTATTGTTATTATTCTTACTTAAACCTAACAAATTGAAATATTTTCTTCACTTTCTAACTTTTAAATCTTCCCTTGCTGAAGTTAATAAGTATTCTTTTAAAATTCTAAATCTTTTTTTAATTCTTGTAAATTTACTTTAACTTGTTGCAAAGATTTTCTAAAATTTAGGTTTAATAAGAAGCTTAAGTGGAATAGAGGTGAATACTTTTTATTTGATGCAATCTATTTTATCAAAAATTCTTTTAAAGAATGCTAAAATGATAATAGCTATTGAGGCCTCATAAAAAGGCCAAATTATTTCATTAAGATTTTACTACTAAGCAGAATGTATAGAACATGCTAAGACGATTGAAATGGCACAAATATTGATTGATTGTTAATCTTAGATATTCAATTACTTAGTCATATAAGGATTAATTGATCTGCAAAGTGACTATAAGAAAATAACAACAAAAAATTAAAGATGCTTTAATAGTAATTTAATCATCATAATGAATTCGAGCCAATATTATTAGCTCCTTTTAAATTATTTTAATTGTTTCCCAAAAATAGGCTTTTTTGATATACTCATGATATAGATATCCCCAAGTCTTGCGAAAGGTTGTTTTATCTAGTTTTTGCCTATTTTTATAAACTCCATACCATAGAATAGTTGGGATTTTAATACATAATATAATTAACAAAGGAATATCAAAAACAATAATCTATTTGAGATGAGAAGATTGCTTGAAATCCTAAATTCATCAGAAATTTTTCTATAGGATATCAAACAAATAAGTTGTCCAATTAAATTTGGTTGGAAATAGATAAAAAAATAAATTTGATATAGAAATAAATGAAAAATTATGGTGAATTATTTTGAGTGCAATTGCTAAAGCACCTAATCCAATAAATATTAGAATATATTTAATATATCAGTAATTGAAACTAAGTAGCAATCAAGAAAAAAGGCTATAGATTAATAGGATTAGCACATCTATTAATAATGGCTGATAATTCAGGTGGTAATTCTAATTAAAATTTAAAGAGAGTAGAAATTATTTATAAGTAGTTGGTCAAAACTTTTATTAGGATTGCTGTTGATATTTTTTTATTAGAAATTTTACGCCAATTAATCTTAATCTTAGCCCAGCTATAAATTCTGTAACCATTTCTGAAGTACTGATCATAGAAACTAAAGTAGACAATAATGTCCATAAGATTACAAAAGTGATCGAAAGTATATTATATATAGATATGTTACAATTTAAACATTAATTAGCAGAACTTAAATAGAATGACCCTTAACCTATTGTATTTTAGAGATCATACTATTCACTTAAGGCGCCAATATGTCATAGATTACAAGATTTATCTCCTGGTTTCCATCAACCTTAACAATTTTTAGGGAATTGATAGCAATATTCAATATTTTAACTATAGTTATAGGCTCTCCAATAATATTGTCTTAATTCAATCATTGAAGATTCTATCAGTCTAATTTTCGTATTGTCTTTGTAACTGCAATTTAGGGCTTTTCTAGTAATTGATAATAAATTTTGAAATTTATCGCAAATCCTACACCATCCAGGTGTCTAATTTAGAAACTCACTTAATTGACATTAGAATGTTCTGATGTCTACAAGCAACTTGTAATTATTAATCGAAGACTGAATAAAATATGGTGGATCCTACCTATAAAATGGTTCTGATATTTCATTGCACTCAATTGAAATCAGAAGAACCTAGTCCTAATCATAATTTGGATTCCAATATACTAAATCATCTAAATTATAATCCCTAGTGTTTTAATTTAAAAAGCATGATATTTCGATAGACTATATGTAACGTGTGTAGCTTCTGATTATGAAGTTAAATTAAATGCCATAGGTTTTAATGTGCAACTTGAATCGTATAATCCTTTATTTTGATTGTTGAATTTATCTAAAGCTATGATTCTAAAAAAGTAAAATTGTAATTGATAAAGAGTATGTGCATTCATCAAAGTATTGATATGATTCAATACTTCTTCCTGAAGGAAGATCCACCAATAGAAAATATTGAAACGTGTGATAAAGTATTTGTATTGGAAAAATGCGAGTTAATAATTAATATTGAGCTTTCCTTTAAGTAGCAATATGGAATCCTCTTCCAGCTGTAGCATAAGATGGATTAATAAATATCTTATCAATAATTAGTGACTATACAATAGTCATACGGTTTCAGCTTAAAGCTTTGATAAGAAATAAGTTTTAAAAGTTGATGGAATTCAAGTCTTACACTTCAGAATACAAAAGATAATGGCTTAAAGAAGAATAATTAATAGCATCGTTCTTTGTAAATGTGCATTCACGGATTTCTAATTTAGCAGATTGATGTATAAAAGAGAATGGCTTGAGTTAGTGACAATATTTTAAACAACATGAGAAGCTTATATCAGGACCCATCCTTAATATAATTAGATAAAAGTTGTAGTCGCTGAAATTCTTGTAGAATCCTAATAATATTCATTTAAATGATTTTTAGTGTAGTTGAACATTAAAAGAGCTATTAAATAATTTTATTTAGAGATTATTGATAGCAAACCTGTTTGTTTATTGGAATCAGTAATCAATAATAAGTTTGAATAAAATTTAACATTGATTATAGGAATAACTTCTGAAATTAATCTTTGCATTAAGTCATATCCTTAACGTATAATGAAGGGATTATTAAAGCATAAGCTATTTTATAATTTTTAAATATTTTATATTGACTATTTAATAAAAACCTATATATAAGAAAAAATGCATGTCTTTAGAAGCAACTTTCTTATACAATTTAAAGAATTATGTAAGGGTTTGTTTCGGTATATTTCATTTGAGGAGATGCTACAATTACTAATGTTTATAAATTCTGGATAAAGAAAAGTCATCTCAGGTAATCCATGTCCTCTCAATAAATTAATACTTTCTAAAAAACACAATTAGCACTCACAATATATCATAGAAGAGTAATAAGAAATTTTTACTATATTTGAGATGTTAGTAGACTGTTCATAATTGAAAAATCAACTAAACGAAAAGATAACTAATCTATTTCATTATACTTTATTATTTTAATCATTTTTTTTTATCATTCTTAAGAGTATTTGACATCTGATAATTTTCTATAAATGCCTTAGCGCAAGATTCTAGGGCTGATTCATTAGAAATTTATGATTACTAAAAACAACATAAAAGAAGTATAGATGAATTTTATAGTATTTGAACATTTAATAGCATTATTTATTTGATCCATAAATTACAAGTAGTATAATTTAAGAGTCCATAACTATGAAAGAAATTTGATTAAGAAAATATTTTATTTTATATTGAGGTTTAGTTAAAAAATATATCATACAGCAAAATAGTCATTTTAGCTTGAAGTATAAATAATGTTGAATTAAAGAAATTGGAATCCAGAATTTTCAAATTATTTATCTAGATATTATTCTTTTTAGAATTCTTAATAAACATAAAAGAAAATATATCAGATGATGAAACATAGAAGTGAATGATCGTGAAATTCTCAATTAAAAGTGAATAAGGGATATTAGTTCTTATCATTAAAGAGATATTTCTATATTCATTATATGGCATTGTAAATATAATATTCTCCAATTTTAATAACAATTACAATTTAAAAAAAAGTGGAATAAAAATTCCATTGTTTGATCCTTTAATAAAATTAAATTTAATGTTCTTAAAAGTTATTTTAGTAAATTACTCAGGGGTTAATTCTTTGTAAAATGTTACAATGGTTGGGTTAGTTTAGCCTTATATAATTATATCAATCTACTGAAGTGTAAATTAAATAATTGTAAAAGTGAATATATTATTAAGTTTTCTTCTATTTAGCATTCAGATTCATTGCCTTATACTAGAGTAAATAAAAATTCCACATGTCTTACTGAGGCTTCGTTTAATTAATCATAGAGCATCTTAGTTTCAAACAAATTAAGATTATCATAATATTAACATATTAGAATGTTTTTTTATTGAAATAAATCATCATGGAATCACTACGAAACTATAAATATTATGATGTATCACAAAATATATTCTACTCTATTATATATTTATGATAACATTATGTATTTGATGTGCAAACAGTTATTTTTTAGGTTAAAAAATCAAAATAATAGTTATCCTATTTTTTAGATTTTCATAACATTTTCTGGTGTTTCTTAAATTTTCATTAGTTAATATATAAGATAGATTAATATCTGATATTTCCTACTAATTTCTTTCTACACAAGCAATGCAATTAGAAGGACATTAAGGACAAGTTCCATTTGTATTTTTATTTTTGAGAAATCCAAAATGTGTTTCCTAGAATTCAATGCACGTAGCTTGTCCATTTATTATTTCACAGTTATTACAATTTTTTTCACAACCTTTAACACATTTTTATTCAAAGAGGATATATGATAATTAGCATGATGTACAAATAACCTCTAAATCAGATTATGAATTAGATTGTTTATATTCTTCAAATGATTTATCATTATTAAAATTAATGACTGCTTTATAAAATGCTTTTATGTTCCATTTCCAATAATCCTTATAAGCTATTTTATTTTATACAAGTTTTGCAATTATTAATGCATAATTAACATTAACCAGTTAATAATCTAGAGTAATATCCATCATCACTCAATTATTATTATTTAATTTTAATTCACATTTTTAAGTACTTTGGTTATAATTATAATTTTGATTACATAATGCACATCCAAAATTAACATAATTTGAATTAAAAATTTTATATATTGAAATTAAAATCTAATGTTGTATAATATTATCCTGAAATAACAACATATTAGAAACAATATCTACAATTTTCAATATTACATTCTATACAATTTCTTCCATTGATTGATAAATAATATTTTGAAGGATCTCCTATACAAAAGTTGCAATTTTCTTTAGAGTCACAACTATCGCAATTCATACCACAAGATACACATTCATTGTTTTATTGTATTTAATTATCTTCGCAATGACTGCACCACAAAAAAATCTTTGTGTCTAAAGCATCTTTGCAATTAGGACATTTCAAATTCTCATTACCAAGATAGCTATCACCATAATATATTCCATATGAATATGAATTTTCAAAAAAAAAAAATCCTTATTACAAGCTTTACATTAATCATTGAAATAATACCCTTCTTTACATTATTAATATCCTATGCATCCAATACATATTTTTATTACATATGTTGCATCATCTTAAATTATAATTTCATAATCACTTAGATTTTTATTATCTCTTTCAACTACCTAATATGATTATTTAGAATTAGAGTTATATGTTTATGTATCCATAGTACAAGTTAATGATTATACAAAAGTAAGAGGTTAAGTATAACAATCGAAGCAACTTATATGAATTGCATATATAAACTAACTAAAATTTGGACTAATATAAATTAGAATATTATTACCATCAAATACATTAACTTGAAAATAAAAATATCCAAATTTTGCACTCTACATTTAACCCATCACATCTACTATAACCTTCCATATAGCCATCCATTTAAATTTCTTATTTTATAAGATATGGAAACATCTAATTTACTCATAAGCATTCTTATTGTTCATTAATATCAACATACCCTTCTTCACAATTACAAGTCTTTCCAGTTCTCGAAAATAATCTATAATTATTTTCATGGCAACTTAAACAATTTATTGATGATGCCAATTTCTTAGGTCATCGGATTTACATACACAATTAGAAGGGCAGCTGAATGTTAAAGGTAAAATTATTCCCTGATTGAGTCCCCTTTTTGGTAATCTTAAATATATCAATCAATGAAATTCACTTAAAGTAGTAATATCTTTGATTCATATTCTAAAATCAGTTTTCACATCAATGTTATGAGATCTAAGATAAATAAAAACTTAAGGAATGATTTCAAAAGGATAATTAAAAGATATAATTAATGTCTACAGAATTCGATACCTGAAATCAAAGTTTGGATTTTATTATTAACATGTTTCCTAAACATAATCCTAAATATAATATATTTCCACATATTAATGGTATCACTAGTAAAATAATTCATAAAGTCATCTAACTTTAATGATTATATATTTAATAATTAATAACTTTTCTTAAATATTGTTGAAATGTATTAATAGTTAATAACAATATTTATTGAATAACAAATATAATTTTGATTATCATTACTTTTGAATTTATAACCCTCTTATGATTGAATCAATAAAAATATTTATTTATTTATGCTTTTTAAGGCCATTAAAGTTAGGAGTTCATCATGTTTCAATCCCAAAAGATTTAAATAAAAATTTTATATGGGTCATCCAGGTGGAAAATTCACAATTTAATTTGACCCATCAGGTTAAATGCTTATTATTGTTATTTTAGGGCCAATTAAAAAAAAATATCGGAACTACTCAATAAAATTTGATATCCAAATTGTTTAAGGCCATAAACTTAAAACCTTATTGTTATAGTTGCAGGCCTTAAATTTAATCCCTAATTAGTATATTTAATACGGTTAAATAATTATATTAAGGTCCTAATGCATAACAACTTAAAAAATAAGAGAGGGCAAAATTTATTTAACAATTCTTTTAATAAGAATGAGTTTATTATGTTTAAGGATTAGTTATATTAAATTATTTATGATTTAAACTCTATCACCCTTAAATGCAAACCAATTAACTCAACTTCATAAACCTGGTTTATTCTCTCTCGGACTATCTTCACTTTAAACCCTCAAGTTTAAGTTAAGAAATATTACCAGCTCTATTTTCCTAGTTAACACTAATGAACATCCTTCAGGAAATTGATATCCAATATCAAGTAAAGCGATGTTTAAGTACTCATCTATCGCTAAGGCGAATTATTTTTAAAAAGGAATATAAAGTTCTTCAAATATAAATTTGGTTAAACACACATATAAAACTATATTGAAAAATCAAAGTTGCTGAAATGATTTAAAAATCTTATTTCATATTTATGATCAGCCTCAATAGAATTAATATATCAAAAGATCTAAAATATATAAATTAAAAATAATTAATTTATATATTTTAGATTTGATCTAAATAAATAATAATATTTGAAATATTATTATTTTGGCAATTTTAATGATATCTATAACTTTTAGGAATAAAAAAGTAAGTTCAAAGTTTTGCTAATCAAGTTGATATTTAAACTTGGTAGAGTTCTTTAGATTTTGAGATCTTTACTTAATAGTATCATTAAGTTTTGTATTTTTTTCAACTTACAATATTAATTCTCTAAATACTCAATATACTTGTATTTTTTCGATTTGCTAACTTAAAGATGTATTTATTTTCTATCTGAATGGATAAATCATTAACAATGAATATTGACCCATAAATGATCAGTCTTCACATTTTACTTGATAGAATACTAATATAAAAGAATAAAATAGAACTAAAATAAGCAATACAGAATTAGAATTACTTTACAAGTATTTCTTTTATTTAAGAATGAAAAAGATCTAACATAAATTTATTTTTTTTTATTTTTAGAATAATAATTTGTGGATAATTTGGCATTTCCTATAATTATTATACTCTAAAATCATAGTAATTTATGCTTTCAAAAACTTCTATTCATCCAGATATGTTATTGGTAAAGTTGATTTCAATGATTTGACATTTTAATAAAAAATCTGGTACAAAAATGAAACTAAGAATTAATTTTAAACAAAAATTTGAATATTATGTATTATCTCAATTTAAAAATTCATTTTAAAAAGTTATAACAGAAAATCTTAGAATCTGGTTTTTATTTTAAAGTAGTAGGATTAAAGTGAAGACAAAAATTAAATTTTAATTGAATATTATAGATATTGAAACTTATAAATTGGATCACTGAAAAAGTATATCAAGTGATAATATTAAATTAACTAACTATTAAAAGATTGAAAAATTGATGCTTATTGAAAAGTTTTCAAAAAGAAAAATGAACTTAAACATGATTTATGAATTTGTAGATATGAATTTTATGATATTAAATATATTAATATCGATTCTAGGTCATTTATAACTCTAATTATAAATTATCTAATTCTTTGAATTTACAAAACTTAAGAGGATGATTTGAAACTATGATATAATGTATGTGAGTATTATGAAGAAGATTTCAATGATTCTTAAAGCCCAATAAATGGATTGGTTATCTTTAAAGTATTAATTCTCTTGATATAAAAAATATTTCGTTCTCTTTGATTATACTTAATGCTGATTTCTTCTTTCTTCAAAAATTAGATTTCGTTACTTCTACCTAATTTTTTTGATATAAATTTCTTTATGATCATAAAATTTCTAAGACATCTATTTGATAATATTTTTATATGGCATTTTCTTATTACTAGATAAAAAATTGTGAATGATAAAAAAGTTCTTATTGTTTGCATTACTATAAAATTTGTTATTGTCTGGATATTTCAAATTATTCAAAAATCACCTACTATCAATTTTTTTCCATTTCCAGAATTGAGTTATTAAAAATAATGTTTTCAAAATGTATAATATATAACAATATCAACCTTTTTCATTTAAAGAATTTAATTAACTATTCAATACATTTATTTTTTTATTCAAATATAAATATAATTTATACCTTCTTATTAAATTTCTATAATTAAGTTGATTTAGATATATATTTATAGAGAAGTTTTGAAAACTTAAAATGATTGTAAAAAATTGCTAATTTCTTTTATTTGATTAATAAGGTTAAGAGAAAGCAGAATTTCACATAAATATCATTAATACTCAATCGTATTTTTCTAATAACAAGACAAAAATAACCAAAATTTTTGTAATATTTTTTCAAATTAATACCTTTTTCAATAAATCTTTTTTTATGCTCTGAAGGATTTTAAGCCGAAGTATCTAGATCTATTTTTACATTAATGGATTTTTTCTGACCTGCACAATCTTTTTTTCAGCATTCCATTCTTAAAGATAATCAATAATTGCAATATGGTAATATACTCCTTTTTCCTTAATGGATGGTGAATAGTAAGATTTAACTTCTTATAATTCGATCTCTAAGTCTTAAAATAAGTAATAAAATAGGAGTCCATAATTTAGCTGAATTTTCAATTGTAATTAATTTTTGAATATCGAGCAATTAAGTCTAACTAAGATATATCTTATTGCATGAGTTAATTATCTACAAAATTAAGATGTTATATATAAAGAATAATATTGAGTACTTGTCCTATCAAATTTAGATATCCTTGATTCTAAGGAACAGCCTTTCTTGATCGATACCATTATATAAGCTGACAGGAGAGTACTTACAAAAATTTACCCACTCAAATCAAATCCAGGATTATACTTTAATTTATAATTGCCAATAATGATAATCCATGTTAATGAAAAAATTTTGTTATCAAAGTTTCAGAAATCATTGTAAACCATGAAATAGCATTAAGTATGAAAGGTAATTTTTTTCTTGCTATTCCCTAAAATTATTCTTTTTTTGAATAAGAACAGAATGTAAGATATTAAGTGACTACACTAGTTCCAGCAAATATGCTTACCATTAAATTGATTTAGCAAAATAATTCATCACTTAAGGGTCTAATCACGTGAAATATAAAGTATATGCTTGTACTAAAGCAATTAATACATAACTGCAGGCCTTTTCCAAGTCTTCGGATAAATAATAAAACTTAAAATTATAATCATTGCTAAAATGAAGGCTATTATTACTAAGTAAACTAGGTTATAAAATCATTATGAGAAAAATATTACTCTAGAGTTTGTAGTTTTTATAGCTTCAGACTATCTTCATCGCTTAAATCTGCATTAAAAGCAATAGCATTTGAGTCACTATAAATTCTTTGACTTGAGTGATTATTACAAGAATTAATGCGGCATTTAACATCTGCATTTTCTGATTTTGATTGTAACTCAGAAATCATTATTTCATGATTTACAATTATATTCCTGAATAAAATTATTAAAACATATAATAAAATAATTTATTATAAATCTTTAATTTATGGTAACAATTAGATTATTAATATTTACAATAAACTTTTCTCTATTCTCTTACAAGATATGAGAATTCTTTGGATCTACTCAAAGAAAAGCTTTATAAGTAGATCCAATGAAAAGCATATTACAACAGAGGTGAATTTCTAATTCAGCTCTAGTAATGATTATTATAATATTAGGGTCTCTATGTGGATTTTGGCAGAAGAGGGTAGAAATTCCTTCAAAAATAGAAATGCATGAAATAACAAAGATAAAAGTAATATATTGAAAATAGGTTGTATTTTTGTTTTCATAAAAATAAAGACAATAGCCAGGATTAAACAGCTGTGTTAGACCTTTTTCTTATTTTATTATTTATTTACTGTATGAAGGACCAATTTTGATTAAATGATAAGTTTTCAAAGTAATCTATCAAAATCAATATTGGTCTGATTACAAAAAATAAATAATAGAATAGTTAAAATTTCTAACATCTTTCGTTTAATACTAAATTATTTATGAAATTGAGATTTAATATATATCTAGATTTATGTGTATTTGATTTAATAAAATCTTATTTATGAAATTAACACAAAACAAAAATTACAAATAGAAAATAATTGAAAAGAAGAACAATAGTATTAGTTTAATTTTCTATAAATTACTTATTTGATGTTATTTGAATCATTTTTGATGATATTTGAAATTTAATTTCTTTTAATGTCGTTTAAAAAATATAAGAATTAGTGTTTATTATAATTTATAATAATCATAAAAAAATTTATATTTAGAAATCTTATTATATTTATTCGATTGATTGAGTAAGTTTTTATTTTTAAATCGAAAAAATTTTGTCGTTGATGTATTTGTACATTCTTTATATTAGTATCATTTAATTGTCGAATATTACTATTGTAATTAGTTATTCTGATATTTTTGCACACAATTAATTGGAGTATATTAAATTTGAAAAATAAAATTCTTTAAATGAGCAAATTGAATCAATTTAAAAAATTTCTTAACCAAAGGATTTTTTATAAATGTTACTCAAAAGGAGAACTAGATCAATCCTTTTGGCTGGAAGAGTATTAGATTTAAATATTCTACCTAAGCTCAAATTAGTATATTATTCTACAAAAGCTCAAGTTTTTTTAAGCAATAAATTTTAAATTCCTCTACGCTTTCAGATTTATCATATTTTATATGTATATCAATGATCCTTCTATTTCTTTTAAACCCTACAGATTTTTAATTTACAATTTTGATATAATATTAAATCATTGGAGACTTAAAATTATTTTTTAATTTATCAGAATTCCTAAGTACTCATAATTTATGACATATTCATTTTATTACATGTAATCAAAATTCCTAGTCAAAAAAGGATATAGAACAACAAATATCTCCTTTCTTCTCCTTTATACAATCATACGGCACTCTCTCTATATTAATTTACCAAAATCTTATATCAATGGATCTATTGCTCCTATAGATTAGTGGATTCTATTTAATTTATCTAGAAATTCACTAATTAATAATCTATATTTCTTTAACTTAAAATTTTTTTGGAATTTTTGTTACGAATCGTAATAAACTTAGTACGTCATCAAAGATGCTTATATCCTGAGGGACTAATAATGTTGCCGAAGTTTCTTTTAATTAAAAATAATTTCAAATGATCTAATATTATTATAATTATTACTTAGTAAACCTTTATATCAATTCACATTAAAACCAAATTGCAGGTTGCAAGCTATTTTCATTTGATATGGCACTGACAGTATATCTATTTAGTATATTTATTACTTAATTATTATCATACTTAATATCAATTTGTTCTTACTTTCGAATGAAACATAATAATATGAATAATTGAAAAAGATCCAATAGCAGAATTTATTTGTTCGTTTTAGCAAGTTGTTCCTTGGATATCATAATTATAATTGTCAGAAATAAAACAATTCTATGTTTATCAGTTTAATATTTATTACTAAATTCAAAAAGTCAATTTTAAGGGTAGAAATCTACAAGTGCAATTAATTTAAGTCCCCCAAAGTTAATTAAAATGATTAATAGTTTTTAATTGATTTCTCACAAATATCTGTTAAACCCTTATTATATCATCAGATTTTATATACATAATCTTATTATTATAACGTCTGACTACATGTTTAGAGTCAATCTTATTTTAATGAATTGTTTATGCAAAGATACATTATACTATTTTAGTGATTTTGAGTTGAGATCCAGGATTTTATGATCTTATGGCCAATTGTATATATATAAGTAATTTTCTATCTAAATGTTTAATTTGTCCAAATAGTACAACATCTGACAAATACTAACCATGAATTTATAGTAATCCTTTTATCCATTTGTTCTGCTAAGTTATTTATCATGCAGTTTATAAATTTGTAGATTGTTCTAATGAATGCAAAGTTTGTAGTAATTCTAATAATTGCTAACCTTACACTACTCACAACCAAACAATTTTAAATACAAATAGAAAATAAAAATAACTATAGTATCAAATTTGCTAAAATTTATCATATCTTCTTTGCACATAGCCAATCCTTTTTAAACTACTTAAATATTTTTCTAATAATATTGAGTTTACGCAACATAAATGTGAATTAATATTCCCTAAAATACATTATTAAATTAAATGTTAAAACCAAAAATGATAGAAAATCAAAAAGATTTTCGATGTTCAAAAGGACATAATCTACCAGTCACTACTATTGCACTAGATCCAAAATTATCAAGGGAATAGAGACTCTTATGTACAGAATGTTTAGATGATGCAGATTTAGATACCAAGGTGGTTGGATTAAAAAAAATTATTTTATTAATTGAAGAAAATTAGGTAAATAAGATGGAAACAGTAGAAAATATAATAATGAATTAAATAAAATTAATTGAATCATTACATGGTATTGTAGATCAAATGAAATCATTTGTAATCCAATAATTAAACTAATTGATTACTATTCTGATGGACTGGATTCAAAATCTTAAATAATAAGGATCATAAGATTCTTAATATAGTTTTTACGAAGAATTAGAAATTATGTTTATAAAGTAAAATAAAACTGATGACTACTTATAAATAATAATCAAAGAAATTTAGTAAACCAATCTCTGTTGGACTTCAAAATTTAATCATAAACTAGAAAAATTTTAATAATTTGAGCAATATAATAAATGTAAGGAACTATTATCTTGTTTATTATAAGGTACTTGGAATTTTAATCAGAGTGAATAAAAATAATAAATCGATATCTAACAAAAAAATAAAGAAATAGAATTTTTACATAGTAAATTAAATATAAAAGAATCAGAAACTATTTAATCTACTCATCCAATTTATCTCAAACCATTCAATTATTAAATAATTTAACAAACTTCTTTTTCATAATTCGATTTGTGTTTAGCAATAGCTATTGATAATGATTGTTCAACATTAGTGGCTGGATGTAGAGAAAAAATTAAAGTATATGAATTCAAATAAGGAATCATCGATGAAATTTAAACTTTAAATGAACATAAAGATAGGATATGTACTTTAAACTTCATGAAGAAATCGAAATAGTTTATATCTGGAAGCTGTGATAATACTATTAGAATATGGAAATAAAATTAAAATAATTTATGGAGTTCATTATAGGTATTAAATGGACATAGTAATACAATCACTTGTTTAGTATTCAATTTAAATGAAGATCTAATTATATCAGGGAGTCATGATAGTAATATTAAATTTTGGATGAAGAAGAATGAATGGTTGCTTTAATAAACAATTACTGATCATTCTAATTATGTATATGGATTAAGTTTGAATTAAGAATAAAATAGAATAGTATCATGTGGATATGATAAATTTATATTAATAATAGAAAATTAAGGATAGAATACAGAATGGAAAGTAATACAAAAGATTAATATTGATAATTGTGGATGGCGAGTATGCTTTATTGATAATAATTTGTTCACATTATCACAAAGAGATTAAGAATATATATCTGTCTTTGAGATTAATACTATCAATAAATAGTTTACCAAAACTAGAGATATTACTATAAAGTGTGGATCAGATACTAATTGTTTATTTCCTTAATAATACATAAATTCAAAATGTATTTTATTGAGTAAGAATGGTGAATATGTCAATTTGATAAGGAAAAAATAAAATGGAGAGTTTCTGACTGAATAATCTATTCATTTTGGAAGTAATTCCTTATATGGAGGAATGAGTGAAGATGGATAGTATTTGATCACATGGGATTCAAAATCATATTAAATATAAATTAGGAAATATCAAGAATTATGAAAAATAAATATATATATATATTTTATATGAGATCAATTTTATTAATTCATTAAAAACAAGGCCTTATTAATTTTATAAATAATTGAATGATTAGATATACAACAATCTGCAAACATAGAGCTCAAACACAAAGTTATAAAATTTATTATAATTATACTTATTTCCTCAAAATTTGTATACTAAGTTTTTCACAAAATTTTTTCTACCTAAACTGATTGAAAAATAACTTTCTTGGCTAAAGAGGCAAACTAATTTTTCATTTATCAAGATTTCTTAACATTTATTTGTCATTATTAATTTAGTGACAGAGATCTTCTCTTGATATTT